CCATATAGTATTTTTGTAATAAAATGTACCCAGTTCATAAATATATAACAGAAATCTGATCTGTACCTGTTATGAAAGCTGTGTGATGTTCTCCACAGGAAATATAAATTATTTTCTGCTCCTTAACAGGCTTAATGACACTGGGCACTGGAGTTGCAAAGAGAAAAGTACCAAGACCCAGCTGACCAAATTGTCCCAGCCCAAAGGTGTACACAGTTTTCTCTGAAAGGGAAGGAGCAAATACAAGAAAAGGATTGCAGGGAAGCAGACACTGTCACCATTATCTCTAGAAAAACTGTAATAGTCAATCTTTTACAATGAAGAGTAAGTGTCTCTAAAAGAAATACCCATATAAGAATATCTAATACTTAAGTATACATTTCTCAATGCTGAGGGGAGAGAAAGATGACAAGGTACATAATTGTAAAAATTATGGCAAGGGTCTGATTTCATCTTTTACATACAACTATAAATGGAATTGCTAAAAATATGTTAAGTCAGCAAACTACCTAAAATGTCTCTATAATTATCATGCAGCTCTTTAAAAAGCATCAATTGTCATTAAACTAATTCCCTTCACTGTCTTAAATAAAAAATGAAGTGTTTCCTACAGAAAAGTCCTTACTTTCAAAAGTAGTTTACTAGAATAGTCTATTTTATAAAACAATTTCAGAAGAGAATTTGCATGATAATTAAAACTTACAGTAGGTCATACTAGATTTATTTACAGGTAAAGCTGCTTTACTAGAAAATGCAATGATAATGAAAGGAGGGTAAAAAAGCTTTCACCTATATTAATATTTTAAAGTGATTCCAAAGGACCTCCAATAACTTAGTAAATATTATGTGCATATATTCTCTAGAAATGGAAAAACACAAAAACAGGATAAATAAGTGGTGATGAAAGCATCCTTTTAGACACACAACTCTGGCTGGTTGGTTCCTGTGTTAGGAAGCGCGTTGCTTATTGCATTAGTCTACTTCTCCGAAGTTAATACCTTGCCTCTCCTGCTACAGAAAAAGAGCCAGGGCTTGGCATTCAGACAGGAGGCCAAACCTTCATTATCATTAGCTGTGGCAAGTAGGCAAGTTACATCCATTCTCTGATGTTATAATCCCTTTCTAACAGAGTTGCTGTGAGGATTCAATGAGAAAACACTCAGGCAGATTTTAAAACATAATGGGACACTTAGATGTAAAGAACATTTTTCTAAAAAGTAATTATCTAATCAACTCACCTTATTCTGACAATTGAGGATACTGAGGAACACATATCTACTGTCATAAAGCTTTATACTTCTTTCTGCCTAAAAAGAATGTTTACTTTATAAATAAGACATATAGATATTACTGCTTAAAGAAAATATGCTGTGCCAATGATATGAAGCCACACGGAGGCAATGGCAAAAGAGATCCATATTTTAATGTAAAAATACCATCTCTTAGCTTAATTAATAATCACACGGCATACCTTCAGTTCTGAATGTTCAGCTTAACAGTAAAATGTTGGGTAAATTAAAACAACTGTCTCTCTCTAGCTGGCCAACAATTATTGTAAGTTTCTTGAGCCATCTGATATTGGCCTATAAAATTAGGTTGTTTAGGGAGCCTGAACCATGTTACAAAAATTTTGTTCCTTATACTGCTAGGTTCGCTTTCAGGTGCTTGGATGATTAACGATGACAATAGTTTCTATTTTTTAAAATGAACTAAGACTCTTTCATCTAGGAACATTACATATAACAACTAATATAATTTTTGGTCATATCACCTTTATAACACTAACAATGTAATTCAATTTTAATAAATAATACTATATTGGGAAAACAGATTTTATTAGTTGGCTTCAGATCAATATTGCTCTAATTTCACATAATACATTTGATTTCATGACTAGTAACTAGTAACTAGCTGTCTTGTAGAGATCTTGAGTTTGTCCAAACATAATGTGGAGAAGTTAAGATAAATTCTTATTTTCCTTGGAATCCAGATTTTATTATGGACCCCATCTTATAACCAGGCCTTTCTTGTCTTTTGGTAACTGCTGTGGATGACATACAAGATGACATCTATCACTGCCTCACTCAGTGTGTCCCAAGTTCCAGTCTGAAACTTTCTCAATACCAGTCCACTGTTTCCCTGATTCTAAAGAGAAACTAATCATATCATCACTACAACCAGTAGTTGTATTTTCTAATTTATCATAGTCACATTTAAATATTATGTTTTAAATTAATTCATCAGCAATGAACTAATTTAAATTATTTTTGAAGTATTTTAATGAATGACAGCCAAATAGATTTAAAGATCAGAGTTACAGACACAAGGAAAAACAAAGGTAGGAACAGCTTCCATAGAAGCATCTAACACAACTCCTTTCCTTTAGTAAAGGGAACAATCTAGAACAGATGGTTAGCTATTCTATCCTTAAAGGTCTTGCAAAGTATTGTATTAACTGTTAGGTATTCAACTTAGTACTTAGTCAAACTGATGGTCAATATACTCTTCAGGTCCATTTCTTCACCAGGTAAAACTAAATATTTAATATTTCTATCCACACTGTGATTCAGAACACAGGCTTTTCACCAGGGCTGGCTCATAATAAAGCTCTCACAGGTCCATGGCGAAATGTGAAAAATAGGCAAAGTAGTGAATTTTCCACACAAATAAATTTATACAATTTAAGGGTGTGTCTTTTATTATAAAATTAAGAGCTTACTTATTGTTTTGAAAATGCCCCTTACTTCATGATAAAATGCTAAAAACAGATTGCATTTTTAAAAAATGTCCACATTTAGCCAAATGCAAATCAGAAGTTGGCAAACACTATTGATCCTCACATTTTTACAAAACAAAAAACTTAAAATATAAAAACTTTATTGGTCTGTGAGATCCCAAAGTCTGTAAAAATCTGGAGAAAATCAATTTCTGACAACATGGTTTTAAACCTCAAAAGAAAGTCCACAGGAATGTAAATATTGATAATTTTATAAAAAAAAATACCACACTTAAGTGCAATTTTTATTTTAAGTATAATTAAAAGTATCATGGATTATCTTGGTGATCATTTTATATAAAAATATTTATAATGTATGGTTGAATGACATTATTATTAATCAACATTTGTGTACTTCAGAATAAGCTTTAATCACCTAACAAACTATTTCTATGATCTTTGTATAAACTAGAGAAAATACATAACAAAGAATAAATTGCATTTTTGCCTATAAAATGAATTTTCAGATAATTTATAAAGGTTAATTTCAAAGTTTAATTCCTAAAATAATTTTTTAAAAAATATATGAAAATTCATTTTGTCAGCAAAAATTTAAAAAAATCTTAAACCTCAGAATTATTTCCAAATTTAGAGTTGAGGCTTTGAAAAAAAATTATTTCTAACCTGGAAAAAGATTCCATCTGGAAATTGTAATTCTGGGAAACCATAGATTAATAAGTATGACTGGGTCTAGAACAAGAAGTCAAGGCAAAGCTATGTAAGAGAGGAAAATCTAAAAATATTGCTCAATCACCTATGGACATTAAGCATATCATCTGAGAATTGGATATTACTCAAAATTTGTCTGGGACACTTCGAACTTTGGGTTACTGAAGATTAAGGCAATTTCAGAAACCATTCATTTCTTTTCAAGCAAAAAAATCATGATAATTCACTACCTAACTACATTACCTCTACAGTACTCATCTAAAATAAAGGTAATACTGAACAAATTTGGGAACATCAATTTAGTAAGCATATTATCAAGTGTAAGTATATTTTAATATGTTGACTAGAATCCTGAGAAATGACATGTCATACCAAACACAAAATTCAAAAGCCAAAAGTGACATTACTATTAAGGTTCTAACTTTCTTTTATTATCTGTAATTTTCTGTAATTTAAAATCTTAACACTTTTTAATGAATTACTATAACAGAACATAAAAATCACAAAGAAATCACCAAGTCATACATGGTGCATATCACACAAAAAAAGAATTATCAGTGACTGTAGAAAATAGCACGGAGAGAGAGCTTTCCAAAATAAAATATTTCAGGAAAAATAATATCAATTTTAGATAAATATGGGATACAGAGGGTGCCAAAATAATGTATACACATTTTAAGACAGGAAAAAACTGTATTAAAATTGTATTACAATGAATGATGCTAGCATTCATTTGATTAATGCCATTTTTGAGCGAACGTCATATTACACATTGCTTCCATAATTCAACTTTCAAAAGTAATACATAGATAACATCTGTTAAAATGTGTACATGTTTTTGGCACCCCCGGTATATATGGAAGTTTGTCCTTTAAAACAAGCAAAAAAAATGTCATTTGCTGCCATTAAGGTGTTAAGATCATAAAAACATCAATTATGTTAGCAAAATCAATTCAACAAGATCCATTTTTTTTAGTTAAGAAAGTCTTCCATAGGACAGAAATGTATATTAACTATAGAAATAAAAAGGTTGCGATCTTAACAATAAAAGATTCAAAGCCAATTTATATGAGTTATCTGAAATACTGAAACACAGAAGCAGAGACTAAAATGGTGGTTGCCAGGAGCTGGGAGGGGGGAGAGGGTATAAAGTTTCAGCTATGCAAGGTAAGTTCTGGAGATTTGCCATACAACATTGTGCCTATAGATAATACTGTATTGCCTTGTACACTTAAAAATCACTTAAGAAGGTAAATCAGATATGTAAAAAAAAAAAAGTCAATTTTTTTTTTCATTAGCCACCACAGAAAGCAAGGATCGGAGCTGCAGGGTCCACACATACCTGTGAGAACTGCTGTGTGCCCTCCACCACAAGCTACTTGGATCGCCTTCTCAGGAATTCCAGGCACCATCTGGGGCACTCTGTGATTCATGAGCAGCTCTCTGGGAAGACCTAACTTCCCACACTCAGTTTCTCCAAATGTATACAGTTCCCCCTCAACTATTAAAGGAAAAGAACAGTGATCAATGATGACATAAATATGAACAAGATATTGGTTACTGGTCTTGTCAGTACAGGTTCTCACGTTCAATAAAAAATTTAGAAAATGGCAACTTAATAAATGTGAACTTTCTTGAGATATTTTTACTGTATGGTGAGGAAATACAGTCAGAGTTTCTTTTCCCCTTGATTATTCTAGTCCAAAATCTTCACGAAGAATTCACGACCATCACTAGAAAATTAGTTTAGGGCCGGCCGAGTGGCGCGATTTTTAAGAACTGGCTTGAGACGCCAGAGGGCCCCGGTTCGGATTCCACATATGAGGGCCAGTGACACTGCCCTCCACAGCTAAAATGCTGAACAACAGCTCAACCTGGAGCTGGGCTGCCATGAGGCTGCAGCCCCTGTGGCAGTGGGTTGCCATGGGCCACCGTGTGTAGCCAGCAGCCAGTGTGAGTGGCCAGCAGCCGCAGTGAGCGGCCATCCAGAAGCCGGTAACTGATCTACAAAACGACAGCAACTTGTCTGTTCCCCTTCCCCCAATTCCCCAGCACTGTTCCCATCCCCCAATTCCCCAATTTAAAAAAAATTACCTTTAAA